ATGATCATATAATCATTCCCAGTTTGCATAGTATTGGCAGAAACACAGGGCAAACACAAAGAATTGTGTTGCCCGTGGTTCTAGCAGTTTAGTAATGAATTTCAAATTCCCAAGGACTAACCCCCAAGTTTGGTGGCAAACGAATCCGTGAAAACATCAATTTTCTGTGGCTAAATTCAACCACATCATGGTTGGTGGTTTCAACCCAGTCTGAAATATCTGCTCAGTTCATGGCGTCATTGTTCCATGCAGGATGGAGAAAACATGTTGTGCCCCGGTAGTTTCTATATGAGTTGGTTTCAAAACACATCCAATTAAACTCATTTTTTTCACCCACTTACATAACCCAGTGATGTTTACCAACACAATCCAGCAAGCAATTTCACAACGGAGGGCCCGGCCAGGGCACGTTTCACGTGCGGAAACGCCCAGTCGTGATGCCAAATGGTTCCTGCTTTCGTCGTGCGTCCTCTTCAAAGACCCTTAAGATTTCATCATAGCCTCCCCAACGTCTCTGAAAGCGTACGGCCAGTTCCTGCGGGGTTTAAAAAGCGGAGAGGCTGAATTTGAAGCGGACATGGCACCACTTTGTCGATCTTGCTTGAACGGCTGGTAGGTTAAGACTTTTACTAAATGTATTTATAGCTATACAATAGAGTTAGGAGCAGGGAAAAATATAAGCTGAGAAAAATCAGTAAACATAGAATCCTACATCCTACTGTATTAATACATCTTTGTGCAGCATCCCGGGCCGATTACAATTGCCCACCCGCAGCCAATCAGAAAAAAATGGCAGCCACTGACGTGGATCCATCCAAAAATGCTGCTGGAGATATACTCCGAAGGACGGCGATCGTAACAAACAAAATGGATGATAAACCCAAGATTTCCGGTACATCCATGCCAAATCACATATAATCGAAGGAAGTTTAGAAGTGAAACTTCCGACAATATGGACAGTTGAAAAGCAGAGGTGAGAAGAGTCAGAAGAGAAAAGATCAGAAGAAAGAAGAGGTGCGCGAAAAGATAGGAAAGTCGCGAAACACTGTGTTTTTCCAATGATTTGTGGCTCCGGAGGGTCGAAAAGTAGGCTCGCTAAAGCGGCGGGTGCGGAGCCAGCTGGCCAGATGAGACATGAAAAAGTGCACGCCGTTGTGGCGCGAAGCACATTTTGAAGTCAAAATGTACAAAACATTAGAGGGAGGGCGCGACACTTTGGGACGTTGAGATTGTCGAAAATAAAAGTGATCGGCCGTTGTGGCGCGAAGCACTGGTTGGAAGTTGCGATGTCGAAAAAGTCACGCCGTTTGTGGCGCGAAGCACATTTCCAACAAACGGTGTTAAAAACTTGACGGTCTCGACCACTTTTGGAAAGTGAGATGTCGAAAAAGTGCACGCCGTTGTGGCGCGAAGCACATTTTGAAGTCAAAATGTACAAAACACACCATGGTCGGACCACTTTTGGAAGTTGAGATGTCGAAAAAGTGCACGCCGTTGTGGCGCGAAGCACATTTCGAAGTCAAAAGTGTAAAACACTGAGGGTTTTGAGCCTTTTTTGACGTGAAGATGTCGAAAAAGTAGACGCTGATTAACTTAACTAACTTGACTAACTTAACTAACTTCACTAACTTAACTATCCTAACTTCGACGACAACAGCAACAGCAACAGCAACAGCAACAGCAACAACAACAACAACAACAACACCAACACCAACCACAACAACTACAACTACAACAACTACAACTGCAAAAACTACACAACAACTACAACTACAACTACAACTACTACAACTACTACAACTACAACAACAACAACAACACCAACAGCAACAGCAACAGCAACAGCAACAGCAACAACAACAACAACAACTTCAACTACAACTACAACTACAACTACAACAACAACTACACAACAACTACAACTAGAACTAGAACTACAACAACAACAACAACAACTACAACAACAACAACAACTACAACAACAACTACAACTACAACAACTACAACAACAACAGCAACAACAACAACTACAACTACAACAACAACAACAACAACTACAACTACCACTACTACTACAACTACACTACACAACAACTACAACCACACAACAACTACAACTACAACAACTACAACTACAACTACAAAACAACTACAGCTACAACCATATGACTGCAACTACACTACACTAATTACATTACACCACAACTACAACTCCTCTACGCTACAACTACAACTACAGTTACAGTACATCACACTACATCCAGCAGTTGTGGGTGAGGTGACCACTGCAACCATTGCAACCATTCCAGCAAACACAACTCCAACCACCTTTCGGTCAATCAGTGGCTTCGCTCTGCCATCCCTGATTCACAACAACCAACTTCTCCTATAGGTTTCCTATTTTTGCCACCGCCTTGTGCGGTACTACTGGTAAATATATATATATATATATTTTTTTTCTTTACATCATATCTATATATATAATACAACATAATATTATATATATATGTACACATTCTAATCCCATCTTTTCAAACGTTGTTCAAACAACCCACGGTCGTCCCCACCGTTGGCGCCTCGGGAGTTTCACCACGTCGGCTTTTCACCTCGCGCCAGGCGCCAAGGAGGAGCAGTGCCCTCACAACTGCTGCCTTCCTGGGCTTGAAACGTGTTGATGTCGCCAATGGTGACTTCACCCAGCAACAAATGGTGATGCTCATGATTTCTAAAATATGTAAGAATTGTTTTTAATGAAGAAAAATGGGGATTCAACACGAGTTGAGTATGACTTAAGCATTTCTCAATGCAACAAAAAATGCAAGAATTTGTGAGTTGTGGTGAGTTTGTGTGGCTTTATCACCCCTAAACTCTCTGATATGTGTGTATACAAGCATTGGGATATGCCCAAATTACGATCACCATCACAGATCGCTAATTCTAGCAACATGGTAGTTCCTGGTAGCCCCAAACAAACAGGAAAGTAAAATCCAATCCTAAAACAAACAGTGTCGAGGGTTGTGTGTAAAAAATGTTGATAGACGGTAATCCAAAAAATAATCCTACGTCCCAAATAGCGTTTCAATCTCTTTCAGGGTTACCGTCTATAGTTTGTTCACAGTTCTTTTTGTGGAACACCTATGGAATGTTGATGGCAGATCAACGGCTTGGCTTAGAAACAAGTGGGCGGGTTGGAACAAGTCGCCGGGAAAAAATGGAGTGAAATCAGGTTGGTTGGGAATTGGGCGATTTCACACCCTGTACATGTATAATATAGTATTATATATATATAGATTGTATATATGATAAATGTCATGGATGAACAAAACCAGTGATTGACCATCACTTCTAATTTCCCGGACCATCGAGGTAACTATAACCACCAACAATATGGTAAGGGCGGCCTCGTCAACTGGGACGATTTGCCGATGGAAAAATGCAAATTTTGGACCCACCAGCATGCACAGACTCGCTACAACCTGCAACTACATAATTAGCTTTGAAGTGTGTGTATGTATATATATATATATTAATGTGTTCCGCACAGATTCCCCATAGAACATACCATACAGTATATGAATGTATACCAGTAGTACCCGCACGAGGCGGGGCGGAAGTTGCCTTAAAGATATATTAAGACCTTTCTCATCTATAGAACTTGCATGCGCCGTGCGCCAGCCAAGCCCGTGCGTGCGTGCACTCTGCGAAAGTGGTGTCTTGTTTCACATGTCACATTTGAAGCTCCACTTCGCCCTTCACACTTCTCACTGCACTCTTCACACTCCACACTGCACACTTCACACTCCACACTGCACTCTTCCCAATCCACACTTCACACTCCACACTTCACACTTCACACTTCACAGTCCACACTTCACACTTCTCACTTCTCATTGCTTTCTTCACACTCCACACTTCACACTGCACTCTTCACGCCCCACACTTCACACTGCACTCTTCACACTCCACACTTCATCTCATCTGAGCTCTTCTCACCTTATCCCAGCTCATCTCTTCTCATCTCATCTCTTCTCATATGTCACCTAAGCTTTCATGAATCACTTCCCAGTACTACTACTAAGGAACTTGCATGCGCCGTGCGCCAGCCAAGAACATGACCAGTGCGAAGCTGTTGCAGTGTTGCTGTCCAAGAACATGACCTGCGCGCGACCCCGGTACAATGCAAACACTTTCCTCACACTTCACATTGCACTCTTCACACCCCACACTCCACACTTCACACTTGCACTTCATCTCAACTCATCTCATCTGAGCTCTTCTCATCTCATTCCATGTCTTCCCATATGTCAGCTAAGTTCTTCTTGGCTATTTTTATGTCAAGTACTTCCCAGTACTGATGTCTACTACAAAAGCTTGCAAAAACCACTTCCCAGTACTACTTTGTACTACAAAGCTTGCACAAAACACTTCCCAGTACTACTTTGTACTACAAGCTTGCACAAAGCACTCCCCAGTACTACTTTGTACTGCAAAGCTTGCACAAAGCACGTCCCAGTACTACTTTGTACTACAAAGCTTGCACAAAGCACTTCCCGGTACTACTTTGTACTACAAAGCTTGCACAAAACACGTTCCAGTACTACTTTGTACTACAAAGCTTGCACAAAGCACTTCCCAGTACCACTTTGTACCACAAAGCTTGCACAAAGCACTTCCCAGTACTACTTAGTTTGTACTACAAAGCTTGCACAAAGCACTTCCCAGTACTACTTTGTACTACAAAGCTTGCACAAAACACGTTCCAGTACTACTTTGTACTACAGAGCTTGCACAAAGCACTTCCCAGTACTACTGTGTACTACAAAGCTTGCACAAAACACGTTCCAGTACTACTTTGTACTACAAAGCTTGCACAAAATACTTCCCAGTACTACTTTGTACTACAAAGCTTCTACACACATCAAGTTCTTTCGCAGAGAAGCTTGTACACACAGAAGCTTTTACACACAACAAGCTTCTTCACAGAGAAGCTTTCACACACAGCAAGCGTTTACACACAGAACACTTACACACAGTGCTTTTACACATGGCAATCGTTTACACACACAGCAAGCTTTTTAAACAGAGAAGCTTTTACACACACAATAAGCTTTCAGCAAGCTTTCACACACAGCAAGCGTTTACACACAGAACACTTACACACAGTGCTTTTACACATGGCAAGCGTTTACACACACAGCAAGCTTTTTAAACAGAGAAGCTTTTACACACAACAAGCTTTTACACAGAGAAGCTCTTACACACAGCAAGCTTTCACACACAGCAAGCGTTTACACACAGAACACTTACGCACAGTGCTTTTACACATGGCAAGCGTTTACACACACAGAAACTTTTACACAGAGACGCTTTTACACACAGAGAAGCTTTTACACACAGCAAGCTTTTACAGAAAAAGTTTTTGCACAGAGAAGCTTTCTTGTACATAATCACAACAGGAATTGCAGCTCCAAAACTGGATCTCGACGCCAAAGCGACAAAAAGACGATTTTGAAGCACTTCTTAACATGAATTTTAAAAGGAAAATTATTAGCGCCAAAATTGAGAAAATCTGCTGACAAATCACTTTCGCAGCCTTGATGCAGCCATTCCAATACGATTTACGATCTTCAGCTGCAAAAGACAATAGTATTACGCATGCAGCCGCTGCACCAAGCAACCTTGACGCAGACACTACAATGCGATCTGCAGAGACTGAGTTGCAAAACACAATAGAACTACGCGCAATGGCGTCGGAAATTGCAGCTCCAAAACCGGATCTCGACGCCAAAGCGACAAAAAGACGATTTTGAAGCACTTCTTAAAATGATTTTTAAAAGGAAAATTATTAGCGCCAAAATTGAGAAAATCTGCTGACAAATCACTTTCGCAGCCTTGATGCAGCCATTCCAATACGATTTACGATCTTCAGCTGCAAAAGACAAAAATATTACGCATGCAGCCGCTGCACCAAGCAACCTTGACGCAGCCACTACAATGCGATCTGCAGAGACTGAGTTGCAAAACACAATAAAACTACGTGCAATGGCGTCGGAAATTGCACAGCTCCAAAACCGGATCTCGACGCCAAAGCGACAAAAAGACCATTTTGAAGCACTTTTTAAAAATAATTTTAAAAGGAAAATTACTAGCGCCAAAATTGCGACAATCTTCTGACAAATCACTGTCGCAGCCTGGATGCAGCCACTTCAATACGGTTTACAATCTGCAGCTGCAAAAGACAATAGTATTACGCATGCAGCCATTCCAATGCGATCCACAACCAGAGATTCAAGAAACGCATAGAACTACGCAGACAGACACAACCACTCGTTGCAAAACACATAGGAGGAACCAATTCGCGCATGAAACGACCCCAGCCGCACCCGCCGCACAGACGAGGTACCTTTCATCGTCGGCTGCAGCCACTTTACACGGAAAAACACAAGGTTTCGTGCTCCGGCTTCCTCCCCACAAGATAGCCCATGCAACCTTGACGCAGCCATTCCAATGCAATCTGCAACCAAAGATTCAAGAACCGTATAGAACTACACGCACAGACGCAACCACTCGTTGCAAAACACATAGGAGGAACCAATTCGCGCATGAAACGACCCCAACCGCACCCGTCGCACAGACGAGGTACCTTTCATCGTCGGCTGCAGCCACTTTATACGGAAAAACACAAGGTTTCGTGCTCCGGCTTCCTCCCCACAAGATAGCCCATGCAACCTTGACGCAGCCATTCCAATGCAATCTGCAACCAAAGATTCAAGAACCGCATAGAACTACACGCACAGGCACAACCACTCGTTGCAAAACACATAGCAGGAACCAATTCGCGCATGAAACGACCCCAGCCGCACCCGTCGCACAGACGAGGTACCTTTCATCGTCGGCTGCAGCCACTTTACACGGAAAAACAAGGTTTCGTGCTCCGGCTTCCTCCCCACAAGATAGCCCATGCAACATTCATGCAGCCATTCCAATGCGATCCACAACCAGAGATTCAAGAAACGCATAGAACTACGCAGACAGACACAACCACTCGTTGCAAAACACAGGAGGAACCAATTCGCGCATGAAACGACCCCAGCCGCACCCGCCGCACACACGAGGTACCTTTCATCGTCGCCTGCAGCCACTTTATACGGAAAAACACAAAGTTCTGTGCTCCGGCTTCCTCCCCACAACACACAGCATGCAACATTCATGCACCCATTCCAATGCGATCCGCAACCACCGCTTCAAGAAACGCATAGAACTACGCACACAGGAACAACCATTGTTGCAAAACACATAGAAGGAACCAATTCGCGCATGAAACGACCCCCAGCCGCACACCGCCGCACACACGGGTACCTTTCATCGTCGGCTGCAGCCACTTTATACGGAAAAACACAAGGTTTCGTGCTCCGGCTTCCTCCCCACAAGATAGCCCATGCAACATTCATGCAGCCATTTCCAATGCGATCCACAACCAGAGATTCAAGAAACGCAAAGAACTACGCAGACAGACACAACCACTCGTTGCAAAACACATAGGAGGAACCAATTCGCGCATGAAGCGACCCCAGCCGCACCCGTTGCACAGACGAGGTACCTTTCATCGTCGGCTGCAGCCACTTTATACGGAAAAACACAAGGTTTCGTGCTCCGGCTTCCTCCCCACAAGATAGCCCATGCAACCTTGATGCAGCCATTCCAATGCAATCTGCAACCAAAGATTCAAGAACCGCGTAGAACTACACGCACAGACACAACCACTCGTTGCAAAACACATAGGAGGAACCAATTCGCGCATGAAACGACCCCAGTCGCACCCGTCGCACAGACGATGGTTGGACCTTCAATTCGCGGATGCAGCCACTTTACACGGAAAAAAAAAACACAAGGTTTCTGCGTCCGGCTTCCTCCCCCCACAAGATAGCACATGCAACATTCATGAGCATTCCAATGCGATCACAAACAGAGATTCAGAAACGCATTAGAACTACGCAGACAACCAACCACTCGTTGCAAAACACATAGGAGGAACCAATTCGCGCATGAAACGACCCCAGCCGCACCCGCCGCACAGACGAGGTACCTTTCATCGTCGGCTGCAGCCACTTTACACGGAAAAACATAAGGTTTCGTGCTCCGGCTTCCTCCCCACAAGATAGCCCATGCAACCTTGATGCAGCCATTCCAATGCAATCTGCAACCAAAGATTCAAGAACCGCATAGAACTACACGCACAGACACAACCACTCGTTGCAAAACACATAGGAGGAACCAATTCGCGCATGAAGCGCCCCCAGCCGCACCCGTCGCACAGACGAGGTACCTTTCATCGTCGGCTGCAGCCACTTTATACGGAAAAACACAAGGTTTCGTGCTCCGGCTTCCTCCCCACAAGATAGCCCATGCAACATTCATGCAGCCATTCCAATGCAATCTGCAACCAAAGATTCAAGAACCGCATAGAACTACACGCACAGACACAACCACTCGTTGCAAAACACATAGGAGGAACCAATTCGCGCATGAAACGACCCCAGCCGCACCCGCCGCACACACGAGGTACCTTTCATCGTCGGCTGCAGCCACTTTACACGGAAAAACACAAGGTTTCGTGCTCCGGCTTCCTCCCCACAAGATGATAGCCCATGCAACATTCATGCAGCCATTCCAATGCGATCCACAACCAGAGATTCAAGAAACGCACAGAACTACGCAGACAGACACAACCACTCGTTGCAAAACACATAGGAGGAACCAATTCGCGCATGAAACGACCCCAGCCGCACCCGCCGCACACACGAGGTACCTTTCATCGTCGCCTGCAGCCACTTTATACAGAAAAACGCACGGTTTCGTGCTCCGGCTTCCTCCCCACAAGATAGCCCATGCAACATTCATGCAGCCATTCCAATGCGATCCACAACCAGAGATTCAAGAAACGCAAAGAACTACGCAGACAGACACAACCACTCGTTGCAAAACACATAGGAGGAACCAATTCGCGCATGAAACGACCCCAGCCGCACCCGCCGCACAGACGAGGTACCTTTCATCGTCGGCTGCAGCCACTTTACACGGAAAAACACAAGGTTTCGTGCTCCGGCTTCCTCCCCACAAGATAGCCCATGCAACATTCATGCAGCCATTCCAATGCGATCCACAACCAGAAATTCAAGAAACGCATAGAACTACGCAGACAGACACAACCACTCGTTGCAAAACACATAGGAGGAACCAATTCGCGCATGAAACGACCCCAGCCGCACCCGCCGCACACACGAGGTACCTTTCATCGTCGCCTGCAGCCACTTTATACGGAAAAATACAAGGTTTCGTGCTCCGGCTTCCTCCCCACACACACAGCATGCAACATTCATGCACCCATTCCAATGCGATCCACAACCACCGCTTCAAGAAACGCATAGAACTACGCACACAGGAACAACCATTTTTGCAAAACACATAGAAGGAACCAAACGACCGCAGCCGCAACCGCCGCACAAACGAGGTACCTTTCATCGCCGGCTGCAGCCACTTTACACGGAAAAACACAAGGTTTCGTGCTCCAGCTTCCTCCCCAACACAAAGCCGATGCAACATCATCACTTCCCTTCTTCACCACTTCCCTTCTTCACCACTTCCCTTCGTCACGACTTCCCTTCTTCACCACTTCCCTTCCTCACCACTTCCCTTCGTCACCACCTGTGTCATAGCTTCTTATTCTTTTGTATGTATTGTCTGTCATGTGATCTACCACCCTTCATCATAGTCAATTTCATCGCTTCTTATTCTTTTGTTATGTATTGTTAGGTTATGTATTGTCATGTGATCTACCACCCTTCATCATAGTCAATTTCATCGCTTCTTATTCTTTTGTTATGTATTGTTAGATTATGTTTTGTTATGTGATCTACCACCCTTCATCATAGTCAATTTCATAGCTTCTTATTCTTTTGTTATGTATTGTTAGGTTATGTATTGTTATGTGATCTACCACCCTTCATCATAGTCAACTTCATCGCTTCTTATTCTTTTGCTATGTATTGTTAGATTGTGTATTGTTACATGATGTACCACCCTTCATCAGAGTCAATTTCATCGCTTCTTATTATTTTGTTATGTATTGTTAGATTATGTATTGTTACATGATCTACCACCCTTCATCATAGTCAATTTCATAGCTTCTTATTCTTTTGTTATGTATTGTTAGATTATGTATTGTTAGATCACGTACCACCCTTCATCATAGTCAATTTCATCAAGTAAAAGTCATTCGTAACTCGGAAGTATTGCTTCCCAACTTCCTTTGATGATATCATATACCCCTCCAGAAATGTTCAACTGCAGCTGGGGGGGCAGTTTCATTTTTCTGCGCGGGTCGATGGCCAGAATTATAGAACTTATCCCAACTTGTGGAAGTAGTCAACTGCCATGGGTATACCCACTAATAACCCGATTGCCCAAGTAATGTCGTAAAACCCAATGCTAAACTGAACCAGTAAAGAGCCATTTTGGGGTCGTTTTAAATCATCCCAAATGGGGCCCCAATTGAGGATATTGGGTTTGACTGATCATCAACCATCCATCCATCTCCAGCGTAAATGTTGGGCAGCTTTTGACGCACGGCTTCATGCAATGGATAACCTCAGCCGGTAGCTTGGCGCTGCAGTTATGGAACGAACGACGTGTGTGGCTCGCGGTCACACTGCACAAACGCGAAGCTTCAAAATCTATAGAAAAGTTGGACACCTCGAAGTTACGGGGTAATCATCATCCAAAAGAAAGCGATCCGATAATGGGAAAACCATGGAAAAGTCAGAAGCCACTATGCTATAGTAGGCTCCTCAGGTTTGATCATTAAAATTATCAGTCCTGCGCTGCATCCAGGGACTAGTGCGACCCCAAGAAGTCTTTGCCTCGTTGATGTGCATAAATCCTGAGAGGCGGGGGTGCCTCGACACGAAAATCACCCCAACTGGAAGTCCAACGATTGAAAAAAGGGCAGAATGGCTGGGGACAACCAATAATCCAAATAGAGTCATACATAAAGCTTCAATGAAGTGAATGGATTATATTGGATTATATTATGTTCCATATATGTTCCATATATGTTCCATATATGTTCCATGTTCCATATATGGTATATATCGATCTATACATGATTAATCTTGGGGTAAGTAATGGCAACAAATGGGGAGCGTACGGATCGTTGAAATCACCTGCCAGCCAACCGCTGTGAAAATATGGAGGATGTTCCCATCTTGGGTCCCATCTGTAGAAACTGGCTAGTAACCCTAGGTGCCAACGACTTATGAACGGGTTTCACCCGTGAAATGGGGACTTATTTTGACCAGAGTCATTAAACAGATAGAGTTGGGGGATGATCCTCCAACTCGCATCTGGGCTTTTCCAGTTCCTCCAACGAATTATGTAAACAGCCACCATCTCCGATTGGTGGCCACACTGCCCTCATATCCTTGTGTTGTTCTGGTGCGCCATTCAGTTTGACCCGCCCAAAGAATGCCGTGCGAAGATATAAAACAAGTACTGCCAAGTGTCCGTTGGCATCTAAGAAATTCATCACAATCATCTTCCTCCTTGGACGCAAGAGGACAGGACCTCCGTAAAGCCGCCTCTTCAGGGCATAGGCGCACTATTGGCATTTCGGCCGAAGGCATCTTGAAAAAAGGAGTGGTACCTAATTATCATCCAAACCATTGTAATATACATATGTAAATAGAACTATGTATACATTATATATATATGCGATTATATATATATGTATGATTATATAATGTATATGTAGTATGCATATAGTCGTGCTTGATAAGAGGAAACCCATGGTGATGAGGGGTGGTCTATCCATTTTTTTGAATCATACCTCATAGACTCGGCTTCGCACTTTTTTAAAATCGAACTTTGGTCAAAATTGATCAACCCCAGAAAACAAATTATCTACTTGGACATCACCATGGATGAGCTTTCCAACCCATCCCAACCCACCTTACTCCATGCCGGGGCGCTGCGTCTCACGTAGGACCATGCTCTTTCCGTGAGACAGGTTCGTCCCCGTGCTCGCTCGTGTGGATGCCTTGAGCGACGGAAAATGTCTCCAGGCAACTGCAGTTCTCGGAAGCGTTTCCAACTTGCACCTACCCGGATCTTTGGGGATCATTTTGAATGTCACTGTTAATTACTTCAAATTATGTTTGGATATAATTATACATATAATATCATATAATATCATATTATATCATATTATATATATATATATCATATTATACCTAATATGGTCACCGTCCCCCACAGAACCCCCATATTGAGGATTGGGGCACTGGCCGTATACATATATATATATATATATATGTGTTAATTATATTCTGTTAGTGATCTAATTATGTCCGAGCAACATTCCAGAAAGTCAGATTGTTTAAGATCTTGGCTTTCCCCCCGACCTCCGGCCCCCATCTTGGCTTGGTGCGAAGGAGTCTGCACGAGAAATCACGGGATCAGAGAAAGTGCCTGGCGTCAAAGGCTGGAATAAATCCACCCTCTGGTAATCAAACACGGGAAATGGGAAATCTTCTAATGGTATGGAGGATTGAATGGGAAAATCATGTATGGGGGATTCTCATGGAATTTCCTTTGCTATGTTTGATTACAGAGGGTAAATTTTCAAAATATAGACAATTGTCATATTAAAATGCTCAGTAACCACCGCCCTGCTGGTGTCAGGCTTACAGTAACTTAATAAACAGGGCTCACAAAATGGAAGGAGTGTCAAGGAGGGATCAGCCCTAAGTATTTGGGGCCAGAGCCTCCTATGGAAAATAAAACGTTTGATCAATCCCCCTATTTTGAATGTCTTTGATGGTTCAAGATTGTCAATCGTAAACGTTGGAAAACGTGGTGTCCGTGCACTAGGGGATTACCATTGCAACACTATATTATAATTGCAAAATTATGCACACGTTTCTATGCATTCGTGTCCTTTCTGCCAGGCCTCAGCTTCAATTTCGGGCACAAGGATTCCAAATAAACTCATAAAATCTCAAATGGATGATGTCTAGATATATCATGATATAAAATATAAATAAACAACTATCATAACATCATATATTAATATAAATATATATATATGTATATTAATATCTATTGTATAATAAATAAGCATTTCCTTGATGTTTTGAGGCCAGGGTGGCTCCTCCTGAATTTTTGGCACCTCCGGGAGGACCGGAAGACGCGTCCAGCCCCGTGTCGGCGAAGTGCATGGAGGGTGGTGGCCTGGGAAGATCGAGCCGCGAAGAGCGAAATCCATGGGAAAATCCGTTGGAAAATGGTGAACATCATTGGACAATGGGAGAATCAGGTGACATCATTGGAAAATCATGGTCTAAAAATGTCTAAAATGGAAGAATCATTGGAAAATGCATGGGAAAATGAGATGGGAACAATCATGGGGAAATACAAAATATGAAGAAACACATATGAAATATTATGTTTTCATCATGGAAACATACTTGGATTTGCTTAAGGAGGCCAGACATAGAAAATCATCCCAGTGGATTCTACATGTTTTTGGTGGAGTAACCAATGGGAAGAACACAGAAATCTTCAGCAAATCCAGGAATATGGAGAAGATGGAAAGTATAAATAAATAAAGGCACATAACAAAACAATCATCATCTTTCGGAATCATGTCAGAATTAAGATTCAAACTTGTTTCATGGATCTTAGAAAACACATGCAATGATCGAAGGCAAGGGTTCTACAGACTTTCAATGGTTGGCTGGCCTTAGGAGCACCGGTAGCTGCTTCGAGCGTTCCATGCTTTCGCTACGTGTAGAGGAGCGGGAGCCGCTTCTCCATGAGAAGAACATGAGGCTGATCCGGGAAAGGTCCGAGATCCGCTTGGGACGAAACAAAATCTAAGAGCCTTCTGTGTTGCTGCGGAGATGAAAGCCAATGGTTTCACCGTCGAGAAAACACATTCAGAGCTGAGGGATGGCGGGCTGGCATATGAGGAACACAGGACTTGTTTTGCGATGTCATGATCCCTCCAGGTGATACTAACAAGCCGGACCACCAACATCTTTTCCCACCCTTACCTTTGCCAAATAAACACTAAACTATAAGTGGTTTGCTGGAGAATCCACCATTTAGCTCGAGATGTTTTTTTCAGCGAACTAAACCTCCATTTATAGGGGATTTCCCAGCTATGTTTGGTAAAAAAATGTCAGCAAAAATCGGGCCAACATCCAGACAGGCGCCTTGGTGGAATCCTCCAACTGCTCCAGCCCTGATCGAAATCCGCCACCGGGCGCCATGGTGGGTTTACCCCAAAGGATCATCAGCCCATGATCGAAGCAATGAACATAGACGGCATCAAAAGGCCGGTTATTGATGGATCAATAATCATTGATGGTTTACTATTTGTAAGATCATAGTTGACAGATTTTGAAATAATCAACCAGACTGGATAATATTGGATAATATTGGATGGCTATTGACTATGGTTGACGAATGTTGCTGAGTAGCTGTGGGAGGTCAATGGAAAACATGACCTAATCATTTTTGCCTGTCCAACAACAAACAGATCTGGACCAAGTAGATGTGCCGAGCGCAACTCCAATGCAGAAAAAAACAATTAAAGGACCGGATAACCCCACATGTTACCAACTTCTCTAGATTTAGACTGGGCATAGAAAAGCAAGAAGGGAAGAGGAAGTATAAGAGTGATGGAGCGGTGATGGTGGGTGAGTTTGTGTGTGTGTATGTATGTTCAAGTACAGTGAGTGAGTGAGTGAGTGAGTGAGTGAGTCAGTGAGTGTGTGAGTGACTGCCACGCCTGCCATGCAAAAGCGGCGGAGACCCAAGGGACGCCAGGGCGTACATCCGAGCCCTTGGCAGTGCAGATTGTGCCACGCCTGCCACGCAAAAGAGGCGGAGACCCAAGGGACGCCAGGGCGTACATCCGAGCCCTTGGCAGTGCACATTGTGCCACGCCTGCCACGCAAAAGAGGCGGAGACCCAAGGGACGCCAGGGCGTACATCCGAGCCCTTGGCAGTGCACATTGTCCCACGCCTGCCACGCGAAAGCGGCGGAGACCCAAGGGACGCCAGGGCGTACATCCGAGCCCTTGGCAGTGCACATTGTCACACGCCTGCCACGCAAAAGAGGCGGAGACCCAAGGGACGCCAGGGCGTACATCCGAGCCCTTGGCAGTGCACATTGTGCCACGCCTGCCACGCAAAAGAGGCGGAGACCCAACTTGGATGGGCTGTGGTCTTGCTAGTGGGTTATGATGTTTAAAAGCCTTATGTAAATATATCTTAATTTGTACTTAGATGTATGTTACTGTTATGCTAACATCATCCTAGTTGTTTAACATGTTTAAAACATTTAGCTAAAAAAAATAAAGTTAGCTAAGTCATCTTATTTTTTTTTAATTTTGCTAAAAATTAGCAAGTACTTAGCTGATTTAAGTTAATTTGGAAAAGATTGTTTTTTAAATGAATTTTCCATTCTTTTGCACAAGAGCAAAGCAGACAGGAATGTTTGTGCATGTGCACGATTTGAACAAGGGGCACAGAACTTTTTTCCTTTTGGTGCAAACCTTTTTGGTACCACTCTTTTGAAAGCTCTTTGTAGCTATCTATTGCAAGCCCATAGTGGCTAGAAGTTTTGGCAGCCAGCTTGAATAGCTAAGTTTTAGTCAGCAAGCTTGGATAGCTAATTGTTGCAAGTCCTTCAATGGCTTCTTTGTCTAGCAACTTGTGGCATGGCTCAAGCAGAAAACAAATTGAACACTGGATGGGCAAGCCTTTGACAAGAAAAGCATGATCCCACATGTTCCACTAACATGCACATGTTCTGGCATTTTGTTTTGCAACACATGCAGTAGCACTGAAACTTTTGCAGCCATGAGCCAAATCCCTGCAGAAGTGGTGAAGGAAGTGGACACCATCTTGGCCAATGAAGCCTTGTCAGTGCTGCAGAAAGTGGAGAAGCTGTTCAAGACTTTCAGTGGCAGTGGCTTTGGGTACAAGCAGCATGTGCTGCCCAAGGATACACTGACTCACCCTAGCAATAGAGGGGGGAGTATGCTGAATGCTGCAGATGTCTGGGAAAAGGGCCATCGAATGGTCAAAGTGGGTGTCCAACCTTCACTTCTCAATGAAGGTGCTGTGGCTTTCGAGTTGGCAACAGAGGAAGGCATGAGAAAGAGGCAACTGGATGCAAATGTGGCCTTGGTCAAAGCTTCTGGTGACACCCTGGCCCCAGTGACTTTCCAGGAAAGGTTTTTGACAGTGGCAACCAGCCACACTGCTGCCTTCTGCAAAGCAGTGGAGCAAGGGTTGAAAGGACCCCTGGGGTTTCCAGTGGATCCAAAGCAAGACCCTGGGTTGCAGCAATTGTGCTCCAAGGGCTGGCCTTTCCTTGTTTTGAGCAATGCAGTGGAAGTGAAATGGCCCCAGCTGCCCAGCTACATTCAATCAGCTTTGAATGCAGTGAACAACTCCTACCAGCAGATGACTGAGATCGAAGCTGCAAGTCAAATGTGCGAGTACTTGAACCATGGAATGGCCTTGAAGGAAGCTTTGCAAAAAGTGCAGGAATGTGACCCCGCTTGCAAGAGGTCTCTGGAAGCCATTGCATGGTTTGTCTCCAGGTATGGAGGAGAGAGGCAATGCCTAGTGAAGTTCTTGGCTCACTTCAGCAGCTGGGCTTAAATTAGCTTGAACCCTTGAATGGCTGCAAGTAGCAATTGAAAGCCCTGGTGGCTATGTCAATAAGCCCAATGTGGCTCACAGCTGGCCAGCCCTTTAGTGGCTATTGCAAAACACCAGACATCATTTGCCTTGGTGAGCTGAGGTAAGACCTATGGGTCACTGCTTCTGGGGGAAGAGATGATGAAGTCCATTGCCTACATGGAGTTCAAAGGCTCTACCTCCTTGTACCCTTTCCTGAGGACAGCACTGCAACTTGGCATTTTGTTGAACATGGGCCATTAGCTTTTTTTGCTGGTAATCCATTGATTCTGTAGGCAAAGGTTTTTTTTGCTTACTGCTTGACAGCTGAGGTGGGCTTCAATGATGTGCAGCAACCGATCCAGTGATGGATACTCTAAGCTCCTGAACAAGTCAGATTGTGAGAAGCTGAAGAATGCTGCTTTCAAGGCTCAAGTGGACATGGCTGAGTAGCTTGTTTGCATTTGTTTTGTTGCAGTGGTTTGAAGTTTCTACCTTTTACCAAGCACATGTTGCATTATGCCCTGTAAACATGACATGTCTACTTTGGGTTCATGGCCTGCAGCTTCAGGCAAGCTTTGGCAGATGGCTGGGAAGTGATCCAGAAATCTACTGCTGAACAAGCCACCAAATTGGCTGCCTTTGGGAGATTGTGTACCAGACTGACTTTGCATGTCTTGAAGAAAGAGAAGCACGGCAGAGAACCAGCTGGACATGAAAGCATCAATGCTATTTGCACACTGTTTGCTGCTGATTTGGCTGGTGGAGCTAAACCAAGTGTCAGAAAGGAAGAGGCCAAGCCCACTGTTGAACTGGAGGTGAAGAATGTCTTGGCCAGTACACCTGCTGAGCTGGCACTGTTGCAAAATCCGCACATGAAGCAGGGCCAATTGTGACTTGGCACAATGAAAGTTTCTTTTATTTCCTTAGGGTTGGTTTTCTTTTGACAAGTGTTTGTTTGCCAAAGCATTTCTGCAAGGTACACATGTTCAAAGGAGCATGGAAACAAGATTTGGACTTTCTTGAACAGCAGTGCAAGCAAAGTGAAATTCTCTCACCAGCCAGTGTTTGGCCCAGCTGAAAGCGTTGAAGTGGAATTTGAGAAGCTGAAGGAGTGGAAGGTGTGCAAGTCAGCACCTCCAGAGAAATGCCACCATTTGAAAGCTCTTGCCCACATGGCAGTTGCCAATGGTTCTGCAATTGTGGCTTTAGAGCTGCAGAAAGCACATGTGCAGAAGACTTTGCTGCAAGTGTGTGTTGACCAAATGGTTGGTCCTGAGGATGTAGCCTTCAGCAACCACCCCAACTTGGTTTGGTCAGTGAAGAAGGTGAAGAAAGGAGCATTGAAATTGTTCCCAGCAGGCACTGTCACCAAAGTGAAAGACACACCAGTTGGAGGCAAGCATTACATCAAGGCCTTTGGGCACCATTGGCTTGTTCAGCCTTTCAAAGCTTTGACTGACTTCAAGAAGGGTGAAGGTGTTCTGGCTCCTTTCTGGTGGGTGAAAAGTGCTGACAATGAGGGCAACATGCAGCTGGCAGAAGCTACAGTGGATGGTTGCAAGATCCCTTACTTGGTGAACTGCACTCCTCTGGGCCCTGAAGAGATGCTGGTCCTTGAGAAGCCTGAAAATGCTTCTTCTGCTAAAAAGCAGAAACTGAAGGCTTAGGTGTGAACAAGGCGGAGAAGGAATGCTGTTTTGCCATAGGCATTCCATCTTTTTGTACAGCTAGGACTGATGGAGTCAGTTCTCTTTTGCCTACAAGGGTGGTACCTAGCCACTGTGCAGAATGAAATAGAAAGTGTTTGGCAAGCCTGCATATGGCTAGTGTCACTGTGGAAGCAAAGCCCCAGTGGCTCAACAAGTGGCATGCTCAGCTTTCATAGCTAGTGAGTGCATCCAAGCCCTCAGTGGCTTTCCTTGCAAGTGTTTCTTCCAAGCTGCCATGGTTGCATGAACCCCTTGCTGCCCCAATGGCAATGATGCTGATCCTTGAATTTGCAGTGCTTTGGCTTCAAGCCCACTGTTTTGGCATTTCTTTTTGCATGTGGGTATAGTGCAATGGCAGCCATGGTGCAGCTTCGAACTTCTTGGGAAATCAAGTACCAGGATGACAAGTGGATGTCTTTGCCTTCAACATTGGTTGAAACTTTTGAAGGGAATGCCTATTTGAAAATCAGGCCTTCTCACCCAAGCATAGTGAAGCTGGTGTCAAGGAGCAAAGTGAAGAACCCGTCCTTGTCTAGCAGTGTTCACTTGCAGAAAATGCTTGAGGACAGGAACACTGCAGCCATGACATTTTTGAATGCCCAGGGTCAAGCTGCTGAGCCAAAAGAGAACTTGTTTGAAGAGAGTGAGGAAGTGGAAGACAAGCAGCCTGCCTCCAAGAAGAGAAAATGTGCAGATGCTGGTGATTTCACTGTTGAGATTCAAGTCCAAGAGCAGCCTGTACAAGTTCTTCTGAGAGGTGCCAGGCCTACTAGAAGTGATTTGCTGGTTCGAATGGAACCAGATCAGCTAAAAGCTGTTTTGCAACTGCTTGAAGAAGAAGCTGCAGACTGCTTAGCTGCAGATAGGAGGCAGTACAAGAAAGCTAAGCAATGACTCTGTTGACTTCCACTGACTGTACCTAGCATGGCTCCTGTGCTGCTGGAAAAATGATCGCTTTGTAAACCATGAACCAAGCCTTGATGGCTACACTTCTCATGTCAAGCCTTCATGGCTTGTGGCAGCCTTTGCTTTTGCAAGCCCTTGAGGCTAGTTGGTTTTACTTTCAGTTGGTTGGAGCACAGAAGTTTGTGGTTGCCTTGCAGCTCCTGGTTCGAACATTTTTTTCAATGCATGTAGTGTGTGCCTGTGTGTGGCAGGAATGAGCTTGTGCAGGAAAATCCTGCAGCTTTTTTTTGGCCCTCTACTGGTGCAGGCAATGTGTGGTGCCCAAAGCTTGACTACATCACTGGATCATGAGAACAGCTATGGCTTGCTTGCTTCTTCTAGCAGCTGTTTCTTGGAAGGACAATGTTGCAACCTTTTGGTTCTCTGGAAAGGCATTGCAGGTTGTAGAATGAGAAAGAGCTTCTCCTGGAAAGCTGCTATTTCTTTGGCAATTTGGGAAACATCAGTCTTTGTGGCAAAAGCCAAAGGCCTTTACAAAATCAATTCTGCAGAATTGAACAGTTGGTGCTACAGAAATTGTTGTGTAAAGGCTTCTGGTGGTCATTGAAAGGATTGACTGAATGTGTTTGCACTTTGTTTAGCAAAAATGATTTTAGACCTAGCTGTGGCAATGTGCACATGCAGAAACCACTCCTACCTGTGGAGGGTGACTGTGTCATCTTTTTGATGCAGTCGCCATCCATCAGCAGGGCTGATTTCTGCATGTGCATAGTGCAATTCTACAAGGTGGAAGACATATTTCCACAATGTTTCCAACTTCCAATTAATGTGTTTTTTTTGCTTGGAAAACCAAGTGACTGCCTGCTACAGTGCAGCAGCAAATCTGTAGGAACAAAAAGCTGTGGTCCATCAATGGCATTGCATGCCTACACCATGGCTTGGGGTTGGCAACCTTAACTCATGACAAGCCCATTGTGGCTAGTTTTGCATATTCTAGTGTGTGCAAGCCCAATGTGGCTTATTGTATCTCTTTAATTCCTCTAAGGCTTTGGAACTTTGATTGAATCAAAGTAGATTCAGCCCATTGTGGCTAGTGTTATATCATTGCTGTGCAAGCCCCTTGTGGCTATTGTTTTCTCATGACTGCACATTCCATTTTTGGTGCAGACACACTTGTTTCAAAACCATTGCCTTTTTACTACTTTCTCTGGCACTGTGCAAGCCCAATGTGGCTAGTTGATAGAACCTGTCACCTCATTGTTGCTAGTGATGTTTCTAAATAATGTTCAAAGAACTCCATTCTCTTTTGCAAAAAAGGAAGCTACCAAGCTATTGTGTACAATGTGGTTGATAGTACTGCAGCATTGGATATGGGTAAGCAATGTGGCTCAATGTGTGTAGGGTTGACTGGCTGACTGAATGACTGACTGGTCAAAATGCCTATCATTACCAACCTGGAGCACTGGCACAATGGTACCCAACTCACCTTTGACTGTGGAAGAACAGTGTGGCATCTTGGCCGCAAATTTCATTCACAGGATTTTGCAAAGTTTCAAGTGTTCATGAATTTTGTGTATAGAATGTGTACATCTAAGGGTGGGAAGTGTGGATCTTTGACTGCATACTAGTATGTGTGTTTTGTTTTCATTTGGTTATATGGCTGGTATTGAATATGCTTGATTGACAAACATGGTTCATTTTCATCAATGTAAATAGCTAAGGAAATTGAGAGAGGAAGTAGCCAGAATGGCCTGTGAGGAGGTAGGCTTAGGAGTGGCAATGATGTTCACACCTGAAGGACCGCGATGACCTGCCTGCACTGGAGTGAAAAATTATTTGTTGTTTACATCAAGAGAACTGTAGCCTTTAATGGCTGGGAGATGTAGTAGCAAGCCTTTATGGCTAGTTGACATGGAAGCCTGCATGTCTGCAATGTAAGCCTTCATGGCTGACTTGTTTCAAGCCTTAATGGCTTTACTGGTTTCAAGCCTCAATGGCTACAAAACATTGATTCAAGTCCCATGTGGCTATGATGTTTCACTGAAACCATGTGTTTAAGTGCTGCACTGTTGTTCAAGGAAAAGTAGAACTGAGGATGACTGAGATGAATGCCATGGAGGAGGTACCCTTGGTGGTGGACACATGCTACACTGACCATGGATCCCTGGAGTTTGTGTTTTTTTTTTCAGTGATAAGACTTCACTGAGGTGGGGCCAGACTACCTGACCAACCCAAAAGTTTAATGTTGGTACATACATTGCTGTTTTCTCCAACTGTGAAACCCTGAAGGTTTGATCCACCAGCCTCCAATGGTAAGACCACATATTGGGAACAAGGAGAAGATGGACTGACCTACAGGGTGATGAAGAATGGCAAGATAGTGAACAAGGTGTCAGTGGCCTGCTTGAGCAAAATGATTTACAATGTACCCAAGCCCATGGCACAGATTGCCATTGATCAATTTTTTGGATCCTGAAAGTAATGATGAAGTAATCAACACAAAATGATTGCAAGATTTTGAAATGCATCCATTTTCATAGATTATGTTTCAAAGCAATTTGGGAAATGGATCCAAAGATCGAAGACTGCATACAGACAAATGTCAGCCAGTCTATGTAAAAGAATTGTTTGAGTCACTTTGCCAGGAGATTATCTGCAAGCCTGCAATGGCTTTGACTGACAAGTGCATAGTAGTTTATGGAATGCAAGCCCACAGTGGCTAGTTGATAGGTGGGCCAGAGCTCAAGCCCAATGTGGCTAGTGGAATGCAAGCCCACAGTGGCTAGTTGAAAGGTGGACTAGAGCTCAAGCCCAATGTGGCTAGTTGGAATAATTGAAAGAAAACTGCACTGCATTCTTAATCACAATCTTTTGATGGTCCACTGCAAGCCTTCATAGCTGGTATTGGTAGTTTCCACTGTGTTGACTTAGTATCATGGTAGCAATTCGAACTGCTCAAGTCTCAGGAAAATGAGATTGTAGTATATTGTAGTGACACCATGTATCAGAACAACAAGAATTATGACACAAAGAATAGTTGATATGATTTACATTATATTGGTATCACTGGCTTCCTGAGATGCTTTCTAAAGTTCGACCTTGACCAATATATTTGCTGATTTTAAATATGCATGTTTACATCAATATACAATTTTAGATTCAAATGTTGAATCTAAATTGTAAATACTGAATTTTAGATTCAGAATCTGAATCTAAAAATGAAAATTTTGGATTTTAGATTTAGATTCTTAATCTAAATTGTAAATATAGAATTTTAGATTTAGAATCTGAATCTAAATCAAAAATTTTGGATTTTTAGATTCAGAATCTGAATCTACACATTTTGTTCAAAATACAAATATTGCAATAATTTATCCATAAAATGAAAAATAATTCAACAAAAAATGCATATGCATAGGCTCTGTAATAATATATTTCAAAGATGCTTGACAAAACTAACTTCAGTTTTTCTCGCTGCAGTCACACTGTGCCACCTAGCAATGAGCTCTTCAATGCCAACTGATGAAGAAGATGCTTGGGAAGTTCCAGGTACAGCATTGAATCTCTTGGTGAAGAAGGAGAAAGATGATGATGATAAGACTCAGCCTCCTAGCCCAGTGATGGAAGATATAGAAGAGGAACCATTGGAGGTTGAGCAGAAGTCATTGCTTGACCTGGTAGCTTCATTGCCTGAAAACACCATTGAAGAGTTTCTTGCATTGGATTTGGGGTAAACTGTTGTTGTTTCTATTGTGATATACTTGACCATTGTTTGTTCTCCACTACAGTGTTTGTCCAAAGTGATTGCTGTTGTTGCTCTGAACTTTCTTTTGAACCATGTTGATGGAATCCCTCAAGTGATAAGTTTCTCAGGAAAATGGATGTAGACAGCTTGGGCAAGCTACTGGTGGAGGAGATTGAGAAGTACAAGAAGGCAATGGGGATTGCTGTCAAAGAGGAAAAGGATGAGGATGCAGTGAAGGACAAGACTGACAAGGAAATTACTGAGATGAAAAAAGAGCCAATGGAGAAGAGAAAATTGCCCATGCCTACATGGCAAAGCAAAAAGCCCAAGAATGATGATCCCAAAGATTCACTGGCACCTCCACCACCACCTCCAACTACTACAAGGCGTACTGATGTGGGGCATAGAAGTGGAAACTTAAATAAACTTGCCCTACTGTTGGCCCACCTGGAGCTGGGGAACTGGACAGAAGTGTGGCGCTTGCACCGAGTGTATCTCAACTGCATTTAATATTTCTTTTGTTGTTGGTTTTTGTTTGTGATTCTGTGGATGTTTTTTGGAATGCATTAATGCATGGGAATTTTGGGGGTGTGATCACTGGCCCACACCTAGGTACATTGCAGGAGGCCAGCTGAAGGATTTGTACGAGCAAGTGTACTCACAGTTGAAATGGAACAACAATGTTGATCCTAAGAGAGTGTACAAATGAATATCTCCAAGAGGAGCTGGCCAGTGGAGTATGGAAAAAAATGCTGTTGCTAGTCTCAAGCCCATGGTGGCTAGTTGGGAACATGTTTGTAAACTTAACTAAAATGCAAGCCTGAATGGCTCCAGTCCAAAGTGTCTTGCAAACATGAAAGCCTCAAGGGCTAGAGTTGTTGCAAGCCCACAGTGGCTCACCCTTGTGCAAGCTTCAAAAGCTCCTGTGTCTATGCAAGCCTTCATGGCTAAGAAAACCAAATGCAAGCCTATAAAATGGACTGCTAATGTTGCAAGCCTGTGATGGCTAGAATGTAGCAAGCCCAATGTGGCTCACAGCTGGCCAGCCCTTTAGTGGCTATTGCAAAACACCAGACATCATTTGCCTTGGTGAGCTGAGGTAAGACCTATGGGTCACTGCTTCTGGGGGAAGAGATGATGAAGCCCATTGCCTACATGGAGTTCAAAGGCTCTACCTCCTTGTACCCTTTCCTGAGGACAGCACTGCAACTTGGCATTTTGTTGAACATGGGCCATTGGCTTTTTTTGCTGGTAATCCATTGATTATTGATTCTGTAGGCAAAGGTTTTTTTTGCTTACTGCTTGACAGCTGAGGTGGGCTTCAATGATGTGCAGCAACCGATCCAGTGATGGATACTCCAAGCTCCTGAACAAGTCAGATTGTGAGAAGCTGAAGAATGCTGCTTTCAAGGCTCAAGTGGACATGGCTGAGTAGCTTGTTTGCATTTGTTTTGTTGCAGTGGTTTGAAGTTTCTACCTTTTCCCAAGCACATGTTGCATTATGCCCTGTAAACATGACATGTCTACTTTGGGTTCATGGCCTGCAGCTTCAGGCAAGCTTTGGCAGATGGCTGGGAAGTGATCCAGAAATCTACTGCTGAACAAGCCACCAAATTGGCTGCCTTTGGGAGATTGTGTACCAGACTGACTTTGCATGTCTTGAAGAAAGAGAAGCATGGCAGAGAACCAGCTGGACATGAAAGCATCAGTGCTATTTGCACACTGTTTGCTGCTGATTTGGCTGGTGGAGCTAAACCAAGTGTCAGAAAGGAAGAGGCCAAGCCCACTGTTGAACTGGAGGTGAAGAATGTCTTGGCCAGTACACCTGCTGAGCTGGCACTGTTGCAAAATCCGCACGTGAAGCAGGGCCAATTGTGACTTGGCACAATGAAAGTTTCTTTTATTTCCTTAGGGTTGGTTTTCTTTTGACAAGTGTTTGTTTGCCAAAGCATTTCTGCAAGGTACACATGTTCAAAGGAGCATGGAAACAAGATTTGGACTTTCTTGGACAGCAGTGCAAGCAAAGTGAAATTCTCTCACCAGCCAGTGTTTGGCCCAGCTGAAAGCATTGAAGTGGAATTTGAGAAGCTGAAGGAGTGGAAGGTGTGCAAGTCAGCACCTCCAGAGAAATGCCACCATTTGAAAGCTCTTGCACACATGGCAGTTGCCAATGGTTCTGCAATTGTGGCTTTAGAGCTGCAGAAAGCACATGTGCAGAAGACTTTGCTGCAAGTGTGTGTTGACCAAATGGTTGGTCCTGAGGATGTAGCCTTCAGCAACCGCCCCAACTTGGTTTGGTCAGTGAAGAAGGTGAAGAAAGGAGCATTGAAATTGTTCCCAGCAGGCACTGTCACCAAAGTGAAAGACACACCAGTTGGAGGCAAGCATTACATCAAGGCCTTTGGGCACCATTGGCTTGTTCAGCCTTTCAAAGCTTTGACTGACTTCAAGAAGGGTGAAGGTGTTCTGGCTCCTTTCTGGTGGGTGAAAAGTGCTGACAATGAGGGCAACATGCAGCTGGCAGAAGCCACAGTGGATGGTTGCAAGATCCCTTACTTGGTGAACTGCACTCCTCTGGGCCCTGAAGAGATGCTGGTCCTTGAGAAGCCTGAAAATGCTTCTTCTGCTAAAAAGCAGAAACTGAAGGCTTAGGTGTGAACAAGGCGGAGAAGGAATGCTGTTTTGCCATAGGCATTCCATCTTTTTGTACAGCTAGGACTGATGGAGTCAGTTCTCTTTTGCCTACAAGGGTGGTACCTAGCCACTGTGCAGAATGAAATAGAAAGTGTTTGGCAAGCCTGCATATGGCTAGTGTCACTGTGGAAGCAAAGCCCCAGTGGCTCAACAAGTGGCATGCTCAGCTTTCATAGCTAGTGAGTGCATCCAAGCCCTCAGTGGCTTTCCTTGCAAGTGTTTCTTCCAAGCTGCCATGGTTGCATGAACCCCTTGCTGCCCCAATGGCAATGATGCTGATCCTTGAATTTGCAGTGCTTTGGCTTCAAGCCCACTGTTTTGGCATTTCTTTTTGCATGTGGGTATAGTGCAATGGCAGCCATGGTGCAGCTTCGAACTTCTTGGGAAATCAAGTACCAGGATGACAAGTGGATGTCTTTGCCTTCAACATTGGTTGAAACTTTTGAAGGGAATGCCTATTTGAAAATCAGGCCTTCTCACCGAAGCATAGTGAAGCTGGTGTCAAGGAGCAAAGTGAAGAACCCGTCCTTGTCTAGCAGTGTTCACTTGCAGAAAATGCTTGAGGACAGGAACACTGCAGCCATGACATTTTTGAATGCCCAGGGTCAAGCTGCTGAGCCAAAAGAGAACTTGTTTGAAGAGAGTGAGGAAGTGGAAGACAAGCAGCCTGCCTCCAAGAAGAGAAAATGTGCAGATGCTGGTGATTTCACTGTTGAGATTCAAGTCCAAGAGCAGCCTGTACAAGTTCTTCTGAGAGGTGCCAGGCCTACTAGAAGTGATTTGCTGGTTCGAATGGAACCAGATCAGCTAAAAGCTGTTTTGCAACTGCTTGAAGAAGAAGCTGCAGACTGCTTAGCTGCAGATAGGAGGCAGTACAAGAAAGCTAAGCAATGACTCTGTTGACTTCCACTGACTGTACCTAGCATGGCTCCTGTGCTGCTGGAAAAATGATCGCTTTGTAAACCATGAACCAAGCCTTGATGGCTACACTTCTCATGTCAAGCCTTCATGGCTTGTGGCAGCCTTTGCTTTTGCAAGCCCTTGAGGCTAGTTGGTTTTACTTTCAGTTGGTTGGAGCACAGAAGTTTGTGGTTGCCTTGCAGCTCCTGGTTCGAACATTTTTTTCAATGCATGTAGTGTGTGCCTGTGTGTGGCAGGAATGAGCTTGTGCAGGAAAATCCTGCAGCTTTTTTTTGGCCCTCTACTGGTGCAGGCAATGTGTGGTGCCCAAAGCTTGACTACATCACTGGATCATGAGAACAGCTATGGCTTGCTTGCTTCTTCTAGCAGCTGTTTCTTGGAAGGACAATGTTGCAACCTTTTGGTTCTCTGGAAAGGCATTGCAGGTTGTAGAATGAGAAAGAGCTTCTCCTGGAAAGCTGCTATTTCTTTGGCAATTTGGGAAACATCAGTCTTTGTGGCAAAAGCCAAAGGCCTTTACAAAATCAATTCTGCAGAATTGAACAGTTGGTGCTACAGAAATTGTTGTGTAAAGGCTTCTGGTGGTCATTGAAAGGATTGACTGAATGTGTTTGCACTTTGTTTAGCAAAAATGATTTTAGACCTAGCTGTGGCAATGTGCACATGCAGAAACCACTCCTACCTGTGGAGGGTGACTGTGTCATCTTTTTGATGCAGTCGCCATCCATCAGCAGGGCTGATTTCTGCATGTGCATAGTGCAATTCTACAAGGTGGAAGACATATTTCCACAATGTTTCCAACTTCCAATTAATGTGTTTTTTTGCTTGGAAAACCAAGTGACTGCCTGCTACAGTGCAGCAGCAAATCTGTAGGAACAAAAAGCTGTGGTCCATCAATGGCATTGCATGCCTACACCATGGCTTGGGGTTGGCAACCTTAACTCATGACAAGCCCATTGTGGCTAGTTTTGCATATTCTAGTGTGTGCAGGCCCAATGTGGCTTATTGTATCTCTTTAATTCCTCTAAGGCTTTGGAACTTTGATTGAATCAAAGTAGATTCAGCCCATTGTGGCTAGTGTTATATCATTGCTGTGCAAGCCCCTTGTGGCTATTGTTTTCTCATGACTGCACATTCCATTTTTGGTGCAGACACACTTGTTTCAAAACCATTGCCTTTTTACTACTTTCTCTGGCACTGTGCAAGCCCAATGTGGCTAGTTGATAGAACCTGTCACCTCATTGTTGCTAGTGATGAATCTAAATAATGTTCAAAGAACTCCATTCTCTTTTGCAAAAAAGGAAGCTACCAAGCTATTGTGTACAATGTGGTTGATAGTATTGCAGCATTGGATATGGGTAAGCAATGTGGCTCAATGTGTGTAGGGTTGACTGGCTGACTGAATGACTGACTGGTCAAAATGCCTATCATTACCAACCTGGAGCACTGGCACAATGGTACCCAACTCACCTTTGACTGTGGAAGAACAGTGTGGCATCTTGGCCGCAAATTTCATTCACAGGATTTTGCAAAGTTTCAAGTGTTCATGAATTTTGTGTATAGAATGTGTACATCTAAGGGTGGGAAGTGGGATCTTTGACTGCATACTAGTATGTGTGTTTTGTTTTCATTTGGTTATATGGCTGGTATTGAATATGCTTGATTGACAAACATGGTTCATTTTCATCAATGTAAATAGCTAAGGAAATTGAGAGAGGAAGTAGCCAGAATGGCCTGTGAGGAGGTAGGCTTAGGAGTGGCAATGATGTTCACACCTGAAGGACCGCGATGACCTGCCTGCACTGGAGTGAAAAATTATTTGTTGTTTACATCAAGAGAACTGTAGCCTTTAATGGCTGGGAGATGTAGTAGCAAGCCTTTATGGCTAGTTGACATGGAAGCCTGCATGTCTGCAATGTAAGCCTTCATGGCAGACTTGTTTCAAGCCTTAATGGCTTTACTGGTTTCAAGCCTCAATGGCTACAAAACATTGATTCAAGTCCCATGTGGCTATGATGTTTCACTGAAACAACTTGTTTAAGTGCTGCACTGTTGTTCAAGGAAAAGTAGAACTGAGGATGACTGAGATGAATGCCATGGAGGAGGTACCCTTGGTGGTGGACACATGCTACACTGACCATGGATCCCTGGAGTTTGTGGTTTTTTTCAGTGATAAGACTTCACTGAGGTGGGGCCAGACTACCTGACCAACCCAAAAGTTTAATGTTGGTACATACATTGCTGTTTTCTCCAATTGTGAAACCCTGAAGGTTTGATCCACCAGCCTCCAATGGTAAGACCACATATTGGGAACAAGGAGAAGATGGACTGACCTACAGGGTGATGAAGAATGGCAAGATAGTGAACAAGGTGTCAGTGGCCTGCTTGAGCAAAATGATTTACAATGTACCCAAGCCCATGGCACAGATTGCCATTGATCATTTTTTTGGATCCTGAAAGTAATGATGAAGTAATCAACACAAAATGATTGCAAGATTTTGAAATGCATCCATTTTCATAGATTATGTTTCAAAGCAATTTGGGAAATGGATCCAAAGATCGAAGACTGCATACAGACAAATGTCAGCCAGTCTATGTAAAAGAATTGTTTGAGTCACTTTGCCAGGAGATTATCTGCAAGCCTGCAATGGCTTTGACTGACAAGTGCATAGTAGTTTATGGAATGCAAGCCCACAGTGGCTAGTTGATAGGTGGGCCAGAGCTCAAGCCCAATGTGGCTAGTGGAATGCAAGCCCACAGTGGCTAGTTGAAAGGTGGACTAGAGCTCAAGCCCAATGTGGCTAGTTGGAATAATTGAAAGAAAACTGCACTGCATTCTTAATCACAATCTTTTGATGGTCCACTGCAAGCCTTCATAGCTAGTATTGGTAGTTTCCACTGTGTTGACTTAGTATCATGGTAGCAATTCGAACTGCTCAAGTCTCAGGAAAATGAGATTGTAGTATATTGTAGTGACACCATGTATCAGAACAACAAGAATTATGACACAAAGAATAGTTGATATGATTTACATTATATTGGTATCACTGGCTTCCTGAGATGCTTTCTAAAGTTCGACCTTGACCAATATATTTGCTGATTTTAAATATGCATGTTTACATCAATATACAATTTTAGATTCAAATGTTGAATCTAAATTGTAAATACTGAATTTTAGATTCAGAATCTGAATCTAAAAATGAAAATTTTGGATTTTAGATTTAGATTCTTAATCTAAATTGTAAATATAGAATTTTAGATTTAGAATCTGAATCTAAATCAAAAATTTTGGATTTTTAGATTCAGAATCTGAATCTACACATTTTGTTCAAAATACAAATATTGCAATAATTTATCCATAAAATGAAAAATAATTCAACAAAAAATGCATATGCATAGGCTCTGTAATAATATATTTCAAAGATGCTTGACAAAACTAACTTCAGTTTTTCTCGCTGCAGTCACACTGTGCCACCTAGCAATGAGCTCTTCAATGCCAACTGATGAAGAAGATGCTTGGGAAGTTCCAGGTACAGCATTGAATCTCTTGGTGAAGAAGGAGAAAGATGATGATGATAAGACTCAGCCTCCTAGCCCAGTGATGGAAGATATAGAAGAGGAACCATTGGAGGTTGAGCAGAAGTCATTGCTTGACCTGGTAGCTTCATTGCCTGAAAACACCATTGAAGAGTTTCTTGCATTGGATTTGGGGTAAACTGTTGTTGTTTCTATTTATTGTGATATACTTGACCATTGTTTGTTCTCCACTACAATGTTTGTCCAAAGTGATTGCTGTTGTTGCTCTGAACTTTCTTTTGAACCATGTTGATGGAATCCCTCAAGTGATAAGTTTCTCAGGAAAATGGATGTAGACAGCTTGGGCAAGCTACTGGTGGAGGAGATTGAGAAGTACAAGAAGGCAATGGGGATTGCTGTCAAAGAGGAAAAGGATGAGGATGCAGTGAAGGACAAGACTGACAAGGAAATTACTGAGATGAAAAAAGAGCCAATGGAGAAGAGAAAATTGCCCATGCCTACATGGCAAAGCAAAAAGCCCAAGAATGATGATCCCAAAGATTCACTGGCACCTCCACCACCACCTCCAACTACTACAAGGCGTACTGATGTGGGGCATAGAAGTGGAAACTTAAATAAACTTGCCCTACTGTTGGCCCACCTGGAGCTGGGGAACTGGACAGAAGTGTGGCGCTTGCACCGAGTGTATCTCAACTGCATTTAATATTTCTTTTGTTGTTGGTTTTTGTTTGTGATTCTGTGGATGTTTTTTGGAATGCATTAATGCATGGGAATTTTGGGGGTGTGATCACTGGCCCACACCTAGGTACATTGCAGGAGGCCAGCTGAAGGATTTGTACGAGCAAGTGTACTCACAGTTGAAATGGAACAACAATGTTGATCCTAAGAGAGTGTACAAATGAATATCTCCAAGAGGAGCTGGCCAGTGGAGTATGGAAAAAAATGCTGTTGCTAGTCTCAAGCCCATGGTGGCTAGTTGGGGACATGTTTGTAAACTTAACTAAAATGCAAGCCTGAATGGCTCCAGTCCAAAGTGTCTTGCAAACATGAAAGCCTCAAGGGCTAGAGTTGTTGCAAGCCCACAGTGGCTCACCCTTGTGCAAGCTTCAAAAGCTCCTGTGTCTATGCAAGCCTTCATGGCTAAGAAAACCAAACGCAAGCCTATAAAATGGACTGCTAATGTTGCAAGCCTGTGATGGCTAGAATGTAGCAAGCCCAATGTGGCTAGTGAGATGTGAAAGCCTCAATGGCTAAAGCTGCAAGCATAGCAGTTTACAAAGTAAGTTGGAACAATGTTGCTGCCCTCAGCCTTTGCTTCAAAAACAATGAGAAAGCAAATTGCTGGCATAGATTTTGACAGAGACAATGTACAAACATAGCCATCCAAGTGAATACCAAACATTTGGAAACCACTAACTCAGAACTGTGCAAGTACAGCAAAAACAATTCTCAACATTGGAGATAAAGAAGAAGCCTTTTGCAAAGAAACAATGTTTTACATTCAGCTGTTGCTTCAGGACTGTAGCACCAAAAAGTCAAAAAACAACCATGACCATATGTTCAATGGGTATCTAGATGTTATATCATACCCAATTATTGTATACTTTTAGCCAGTTGAATTGTTGATCATCTACATGATTAAACAATAACAACACATTTACAAACAAATGTAAACATTTGTAAAAAGAAACACTATAGCAAACATATTTTCTTCAAAGATAAGCTCTAAAGAGTCTGTTGTATGCCATGGCTTCTGGCACTGCCTGTGGTGAAGAGCATGCTTCAAAGAAAAGAAAAGTGATGTGGGAACCTGAACCTGAGCCTGTTCCTGCCAGCAGCAGCTCCAGTGCCTGCTCAACTACCATGGACAACCATCAGGAGCCAACCAGAATGTCTGAGGCTGAGCTGAGAAGCATCTGCCCTACTGTACCTGACTGGGATTCTGATGCTCAGCATGAGTTTGACTGCGATTGTTCAGTTTGTGTTGACTTCTATCAAGAATATGCCAGGCGCATGGGCATCATGCTCATAGCATCTTAAATGTGAATAGCCTGGAGCATTTGCATTTTCAAATTAGCACCTGCTGCACTATGCATTTTACAATTAGCACCTGCTGCAGTGTGTCAACTGCTGACATAGATTATTGGCAACCTATCCAAAAAGAAAGCTGTTTGTGAACTGCTGCAAGCCCTTGGTGGCTAGGTAACTCAAGCCCACAAGTGGCTATGTGCCTAGAAGCCTTATTGGCTAGTTTGAACTTGCACACAAACTGTCTTTGCAAACCTAACTTCAAGCCTTGCTGGCTAGATGACTGTCATGACATGTTCTCAAACATGTAAATTCTATACACCAGTTCTTTTCCTAATGGCAGACTGGTTCAAACCTAGCAAGCAGCAGGCCTAGTAAGTGGCAATGGCTCACAAGTGGACTGCTGAAGACTTTTGCCATGAGCTCCAGCATGTTGCCAACCTCTTGGTGAAGCGGCCCAACTCTCAAATGGGAGAAGCTTGCTTGGTTTCTTTGAAGCAGAGGCTCACCAATGTTACTGACATGACTGCTAGCACATTGTCTGCCCTCTACGACAAAGTGGAAGCTGTTGAGTTGCCTCAAAATATCAAGGATGATATTTTGCAGACAATGGATAGCTTGTCAGTGTCCACAGAGAGCAACCTGCAACTGGAAACCAAAGCTTCCTCTCTGCACTGCTTGCCTCCTTACCTCACCACTGCTGACTGGAAGGCTTTGTCTCAATGTCACGTTTTGGATGCCATGAGAATCATTTCTGAAAGAATGAAGAAATTGGGCATCAAGTCCATGAAGGAAGAGACAAAGAAGACTGCAGTGGCCACACTTCTGCACTTGCATGTGACTGTGCACAAGAACCCATTGCCTTGTGCTTGGACCATCTATGGAATGGTTGTGGACTTGGCTCAGGTTTTCAACCATACTGAGGTTGGTCAGTCAGTTCCTGGGTTGAAAATGTACCCTAGCAGCCCAAGCCAATTGGCACAGGATTGGTTGAAGAAGGCCTTTGGAAATGAAGAGCCTTCAATGTCTGACCTTTCTGTGGCCACCTTCTACCCAAAGATTCCACTGAGGTCCACTTCGAGCTTGCTTTGGGCTGAAGCACCAGCTCACTGCAAGCACCTTCAGAAGGGGAATGCCAAGAAGGAGCATGCAGATCCTTTGATGAGCAAGCTCAATGACTTCATGGAGAAATGGGACTCCAAGCAGGACCAAGAAAAGTTGCAGAACATGCAACACAGCAGAATGAACCCACTGCCTTTGCAGAATACTGGTCAGCAGGCCAATGTCAGGTCTGCCTGGATGGCCTGTGCAGCCCAGTGCTGGGTCCAGACCTGACCATGCTGGACCTTTGCCGTTGCAAAATGGCACACCTGCTGCTGAGGCTGTGGAGACCAAGGCCAATGACAAACCTTCATTGGAGGAGATTGAGACCAAAGCTTGGGAAGCTTTGCAAAAGAAAAGGAGCAATGCCAAGGCTAAGTCACAGCCTGCAAGCAAGAATGGAAACAAAAAGAAAGTGTTGAAACGCCCAGCAGCTTCCTCAAGTACTGTTTTGACACGAGCCAGTGTCCAGAGAGTCAACAAAATCTATGGGTGCACAAGATGCCGTGGAAATGTGAAAGATGTACTCAGTGCTGGGATGACACTTTCACTGGGAAGAGATTCTCCTCCAGAGAAGAATGGAAGGAATGGGCCAAGCAAAACAACAAGAAGTGAAATGGCAGTGGCTAGGTTTGAATGTGGGGTGCCAAAGGCACACTTTAGTGCTTTTGCTTTCTGGGTTCCTGCAGCAGCCACCAGTGCAAATCACTGAAGATGAGCTGTTAGCAATCAATAAGATTTCCTCCAACAATGGCAAAAAGAAAAGGGACTGCAAGCCTGCTATGGCTGGTGAGAAGTGTTTTGTCAAGCCTAAATGGCTGTACCTTTGCAAGCCCAGGTGGCTCAACTATAGTGCTCTTCTAACCTCTTGTCTTCCAAGTCCCAGTGGCTAGTTGCTTTGCCATGTTCCAGCAAAACCAAAAACACAACACAGATTGTTTGGTGAATGACTTGACAGTGGCTCCAGGCCCAGTGATGACCAGGGTGTTGATAAATCACACAATTTCATTAGCAATGCAACACACAATACCTCAAATGTCATATGTTTTGCAGAAGCAGATTGAATGTGCCACCTGGCAAAAAAAAACAAAGCAAGCAGCCTTGCATGTACTGTCTAACCTGTTTGAATTGCATACTTTTTGCTTTTGCTACTGCCATGTGTGAAAGAGAAGCTAAACTGCAGAGACTTAATGTGCTGAGAAAAGCTGTCCCCTCTTGCAGCAAAAGTTCTTTGGCAGCAATACTGGACCATATTGCTGAGCATGGGCTGCCAGAACTCAATAATCGCAAGCAAATGAGAGAAGCAGCTGAGCAACAGCTCAAAGCTTCAGCAACCTATGGGCCTGCTATTTTTCACAAAAACTTTCTGAAGAGCGATGGAGGTACCGTCTCTCTCCCCATGGTGAATTTCTACACTGCATTGAATGCTGCATGCAAAGTGAAGGGTAGTTTTTCCCAGTGTTTGCTTTCATCCTTGGCTGGTAAACCTACTGGAGTAGACACTCCTTGGAACCTGATTCTTTACAGTGATGAATGCCTCCCTGCCAATGCTTTGGGGAGAGCTGCAAAGAAGGTTTGGGTTGTCTATGCTGCTTTCAAGGAATTTGGTCGGCAAGCTTTGAGCCATACTCAGCATTGGCTGGTTTTGGGCATTGTCAGGAGCTCCATTGTGGCCACCTTGGAGGGTCACATGGGTCAAGTGATGAAGGTTCTTTTGGAACACATATTTAGCAACAATGTAGCTTCACCTTTGGTAGGTGTTCTTCTACATGGTCCTGGCAGTGAACTCATCAGATTGCATTTTCAAATTGGCTTCTTTGTGCAGGATGGTGCTTCTCAGAAAGTCACTCCTGGACTGAAGGGTGACTCAGGCAGCAATTGTTGCTTGAAATGTTGTGATCAAATTGTGTTCCTTTTAGAAGCTGAGGAGGATGAGGAGAAGGCAGTGCTCAAGACCATTTGCAAAAAGGACATGGTTTTAACAACTGATGAAGAAGCTTTGAAGAGCTTTGACCGCCTCAGTGCCAAGAAGGGTGTTTGCACCCCTCAAGAGTTTCAGCAGTGGGAGCAATGCACTGGTTCGACTTTTTCACATGAAGGTATTTTGGCTTCCCCATGCTTGAGAAATTGGCTGCAACCATGTTCGCAATATGTTCATGACTACATGCATGGCATGGCTTCCAACGGCTGCTTGAACATTGGTATGTTTTTGGTTCTGGAGCATTTGCAATCTGAAGGGCTGCCAGCCTGGAGTGCCATGCAGGACATGATCAGCATGTGGCACTTCCCACAGGCTTTGCACAAGGTAGGTGCTTTATCTTCTTTGTTTACATCTGCCAAAGTGGAATCATACAAGAAAGCTGGGAAATTGAAAGTCACTGCAAGTGAAGTGTTGTGTTTGTATCCAATTTTACAGCACCATGTGCAGATGATTGAAAACAAAGGTGGCAAAAGTGCAGCAACACAAGCTTTTCTCAACCTGTGCCACATGATGGACCTTTTGCTTGCAACTTCTATTGGTGGTGTCAATGGTTTGCTTTTGGACACTGCAGCTGAAAATGTTTTGGCATCTTT